ATGAAGCCTCTGCCGATAGTAAGAGTGGGGTAGAAGAGAAGAATGGCGCGCACTCGCCGCAAGCAGGCGCGTCGGTTCAGTCAGTAGAGGACGATATACATGGCATCATCATCGCAATCAGAGTGACGAGGAGTGGTCACATGTTTGCGACCCTCACCAGAACCACCCTCACAATCTGGCAGACAAAGGCACGTGTCATTGCTAGCCTGACGCTTCATGTGCTAATTCGTCACAGCCCACGGTAGTCCTAGCCTCTGTACTCCGTTCAGAGCAATCCGTTAGAACATACGGCCCCAATACAGACGTCCTACTCCGTCCCGACTCCCAAATCTTCGTCGTCCAGACCGCGCTCGGCTTCCTCATCACGTATTCGCTCGCGACAGACCATTCATCCCGCATATACCAGGCCCAATTCACCAACACACACGGAGGTCACGCGAGGAAAAGCAGTGCAATCACGGGCTTCAAGATCCAGCGCCAACATGATGTGAATGCAGGTCCTGGAGAGGGCAATGGCCTGAAAGAGCTCAGTCTGCGGTTCCGAATGGTCATACGGGTGGATGCTGGGATAATTCGGGCTCTGGCTCTGGACGACGAGTTGGTCGTGGCTACCGAGAAGCCGGCAGCCGTGCAATGTATACGTTGGGCGCCGGATAACACTGGAAGCCAGACCAGCACCGAGCTTCTGACCAAGATGACATGGTTAGGGAGCAACGCATCAATGCGAGAAATGGTCCACGATCGACCTATGAACCTGTCGTGTTGGATCACAGGCAACGGTCGAGCCTATGCTGTTCAAAAGGCGGCTAAACGAGATGCCGCTGTCTCTAGTATCTTCCGTGGCTACGGTTTCCACACACCCAAGACTGATGCCGATTGTGGTGTCAAAGCTGCTATCAATGCGAGATTCTCTTTGCTCGCTGTTGGCTGCGCCAGTGGCGAGATCCATGTATACACCGCACGCGACTATACCGGCAACATCCCACTATCGCATAAACTACGCCCAAACGTCACTTCGCCCGGCAAATTGACTGTACTGACTTACTCGCCAGACGGGTACTGCCTCTTCGCCGGGTATGAACACGGTTGGGCCATGTGGAGTGTATATGGAAAGCCCGGAGCTACCAGCTTCACTGCAGAAAGGACGCTTTCCAAGACCAATAACGAAGGGTGGCTTCTCAGTGTCAAGGAGGCTTTCTGGATTGGAGGTGGCGCGGAGCTCTTGATGTTGGGCGACAACGACAATCGTCTCTTTGTTTTGGAGATGGCTCGCAGTGCAGTCACCGGCTGCTTCTCTTCGGCAAATGTGTCACGATCTTTGATGCAGACCAGTACCGGATTCATGATTTACCGCGGTTACGATCTGCCAGATCTGACGACAATCTCCGCCGACGTCTCACTCTGGCACCATGTTCAAATTCCATCCGCTTACCTTGTCGACCAATGGCCGATTAGAAGTGCAGTCATTTCGAATGACGGTCGATATGTGGCAATAGCAGGCAAGAGGGGGCTCGCCCACTACTCTGTTAACAGCGGACGGTGGAAAATGTTCGACGATCCTTTTATAGAAAACGAGTTCACTGTCCGAGGAGGTATGTGCTGGTTCCAGCATGTCTTGATTGCGGCTGTCGAATGCCGCGAGTCTCACGAAGTAGGTACATCAAGGCGTTCGGTTCGATTCCTACTGATTCATTTGTCAAGGTCCGGGTATATTCGCGCGAGGCAGCTCTTGACAATAGCCATGTCATGCATACGCAGAAGCTACCTGCGCCTATCGTACTAATAGCACCCTCCGGCGAAGATTCACTCCTGGTCTACACGTACGAGAATATATTGTACCACTACGTAATCAGTGTGTCCGACGCAAGTGTGAAACTGGTGCAAGTGGGCCAAATCGCCCTGCATGGCATCATTCGGGCACCTACACGAGTGCGAGCACTTAGCTGGATATTGCCGGAAGACCAAATACGTACGTGTTTCGGAACCTACATCACTGTAGTTGCTGACACTTTCTAGACAACGGTGATCCAACACAGGACGTGGCGGTCGCGACTATCCTGTTCCTCGTAGATGGTAAACTTGTGCTCCTGCAGCCAACGACTACCGAGAGTGGCGAACTCAAATACGAGATGCGCATCATTGCGCAGAACGTGGAGACGTACGCTCTTATGCGCGATCACCCTGCGTTCGCATTGGACCGACATGCCGATTCATTGCCGGCGAGCCCCTCTATGGAACTGACCATGGAGGGTGTACACGGCCACGATTTACGTGACTCATTGTGGTTCTTCGATGGTAACGACATGCGAGTTTGGATAGACATGCAAGACGTCCTTGCTTCCGCGTCACCAGAGATCGGCAGGGAACTGCCCACGCCTGTTCAAATCCCCGTCGACTTCTATCCTCTTTCGGCATTGATTAACAAAGCAATCATATTCGGGGTGGAGTCAGAGTTGATTCAACGCAGGGATACGAGCTTCGCGTTCTTGCGTTTCGGAACCAGGGTAAGTCTCTGCGCTCTGCTCCCGCGTCATTGGCGGTACACTGATCTCATGCTGACACACATGCTAGACACACCTCTTTCTCCCCGCATTGCTGCGGTGTCACCTGGCGCAGTTCAATCACCCTGCAGCCTTGCATCTTAGCCACCATTACCAGCATTTGCTATATTTCCCCCATGCTTTGGAGATCTTACTGCATGAAGTCTTGGACGAAGAAGTGGATACGCAGCCACCACCCGAACAGGCGCTATTGCCGAGCGTGCTATCATTCCTGAGCTCCTTTCCCCGATATCTCGACATTGTTGTGCAATGTACCCGCAAAACTGAGGTCCGTTCATGGCGGACATTATTCTCGAACCTGCCTCCACCGGAAGAACTATTCGAAGAATCGCTACAGAAAGGGAATCTCAAGACTGCAGGTGGCTATCTCCTCGTTCTTCACACTTTCGAAGAACTGCGACCGACAGGCGATCAAGTCGTGCGCTTACTTCAACGCGCGAAAGACGAACAGGATTGGGAGCTATGCAAAGAACTCGCGCGATTTCTCATGGCTCTTGATGAATCTGGCGCAACACTCCGAAGTACGTTGGAGCTTGTTGAGCTGAAGACACCATCAGCGGAACCAGTCCATGGCCAGTCGCATTTTACGTTCGAAACCGCACGGCTAAATGTACCGCTGCGGGGAAGAAACAATGGGCTCATGGGATTGAACGGCACAGGCAGTGATTTTGGGGCCGATGGTACTGGTATGATGGCGCGAGAGGGTGGTGACATTAGCCCCGGTGGGAGCGACGTAAGTGCTGGTAGCGATACACGTCCGTCACAAACACCCGGTGATTATTTCGGCCTCGGGCTGAACAACATGCGTCAGTAGTAGTAATGACCAGATTATCTCATGGATTGCATCATCGATAAAGCTACCTACATTTTTGCAACCGGTCCGTATATTCAAACCCACGATACTCACAACGATGATGTATGGCGTCGCATCACGAGACTCGCAGTAATGGTTCGGCCGACGTCGCTACCTAGGTACCGCTGAACATACATTGACCACCACTCGAACATTTCAACAGCCACCTGGTGATGTTAGGCGATCTAGGTACTCGGGGTGCCGTGTGCTATCGATGGTCCCAAAATATGGGTCTGGCTTTGCTCTCTCCAATGAGCAGCAATGCAGGGTCGTATCGACCCCACAGGGCTGCTTATCCAACCTCACGGCAGGAAGAGGAGTATACCTCGCGATTGGTGAGCTCGACCAGTCTGCCCTCTTCTACCGCGTCTTGTACGGGATCCCGAGGAATGGCGCACCCACGTAGCTGGTCAACTGGTAAGCGAACGTTTAGATTGCGGTAGTATTTGTGTTCTCCGTCTAACGTAGTATCGCCTGATGTCTCGTGTCGTGTGCAGCGGGAAGGTACGTAGCCGAGCCGAGGTTTCCATGGGACGAGATGTCTTGGTAAAGACATCTACGTCCGCCACTCGACCAAACTTTGTAGTTAGATAAGATAGCAGGGTTGGCATGCGCTCGGGGGATGCGGTGGCATCAACCGGGCGGTGAGACGCGCTGGGCCTCTACAGCGTCTTCAGGGCTTGGAGGTCAGCTTTCGCACGTGCGAAGCAACGTCCAATGAAGGGCCTGGTCTCCTCACGAGGCAATCGATGTGGGTGAAGTCCCTCACAGAGATTGTAGAAGGACTGAGAGAATACAGCCTCGTGATTCTGCTCACAGTGGTAACGCGCGCATTGCACCAAGCCCATTCCATCCAACATGGCAAACTGCTCCAAAGTTTTGACGGATCCCCGAAAGCCCTACTTACTCGTGCTGCGTCTAAGACGGGTCCCGCGCTAAAGCGAGCACCAGTGCAATGGGTCGGCGTTCAGGCAACCAACTATGCCTCCTTCCCGGCGCGCAGGCCTCTCGTTCACTCGTCGCAACAAGCATTAAGGACTCAGCCACGACTGCCTTCACCGTATACTCATCCCAGCACCAGCACGTTGCTGCGCATACTCAACACACGCTTTATGACGCACAATTGCCTGCTTTCCGCTTCATCTGTTGCACAAAGCTTTGTATGGCTGGAATTGCGCCCTTTCTGGAAATATTCACGGGCGGCAAGGCACACTGTCACCAGCCGCGTATATATACTTCTGGCCCCATTGCTTTCAGCCTTACCCGATACCGATCGATCCTTCGTCTTCTGTTGCTCAGATTCCATCTAAATCGTTAACATCTGCCATAGGAATGACCCACACATTCCGATCACCGAATCGAACATCATCGCGCTTGCCAATTATCCTTGAGTACTATCGGGCTAGTCGACAACAATGACTGCCCCTCCAGCCGCACGACCGCTCTTCTCCGCCCATCACATGCCATTTGTCTATCCTTCACCACCCTCGACGATCGCATCGGACTCAAGCTTCTATGGAAATGTCATGTCGCCTCCGCAGCAACTCAATGGTGAGCGTGCCTTTTCGTATCATTGAACGGACTTGATGCGCGTACCACATGCGGAAGGCGCTCTCGCTACGGCCGAGGTCCACTGCTTGCGCATGCTGCACCTACACGGTGTGTAACACGATCACCAACATCAGCAGAACCCCTGATCGCCATCCCCAGCTCACTCAGTGGTGCCAGTCGCTAATATCCAGTAGAATTCGTGCCGCCTCGGAAGTCGAGCTCTTCGCCAACGGCGAAGTCACCTGACAGTGCGAGCCTTCGATGGATTACCGCCACCAACCCCAGGGAGTTCAAATCAAAGCGCAACATGCAAGCCGTACGCCAAACCGCGATGGGAAGCTACCTACAGAGCACAAAGAATCATGCCAGCGACAAAGACAGGGCCCCCAGCGAAGCCTCGGATCATTCGCGATCGAGCTTAGGTTCCCAAAGCGCCACGAAACTACGAACGATCAAAACACCAAAAGTGAAGGCGAAGAAGAGTGATGATAAGATACACCGGTTGTCGCAGTCTACCAGCAGCAGTCAGGAGGCTCCCCACCATGATGCTCAGGTAGCACGGACTAGGCCTCACCAATCGACCCTCACCCAGACACCCATTGTTGTTCCAATAAGGAGTGGCCACCAGTATCGATTCGACCTAGAACCAGTACCAGATCTGAGATGTCTTGGGAATGCGCTAGACCCCTTCGGAACTATGTTTCAATCGAGGAACACTCGCGTGAAAGTCGAGAAGCTGAAGATCGAATGCTCCAAATACTTTGGCACGGAGGGTCTGGGTAGGCACTGGATCCCCGAATGCCTGAGTTACGCACATACCTTCCTCAGCACCCTCTACATGGCTTCTGCATACGATGATGTCGTTCACAATCGCGAAATAGAGAGTTTGGAAACCGCAGCACTGCGCCAAGATGTCATACATTTCGTAGGTGGTCACCTCACCGATGTGGAGCAAAGTGTGGCGGATCACAATATCATCGCCGTCAGCCAGCTCATACTTGGGGACGTCATAAGCCGGTCCGATTTAGGTCTACGCTACCACCAGATGGGCATTGCCAGAATGATCGAGCAGCGCGGCGGACTCCAAACCTTGGGTGTCAACGGCCAACTAGCATCTGCAGTCTCGTGGGCAAACCTCGCGACCGCGGCTTTACAGGAAGCCTCGCCCACTCGGATGTATGTTGACTACTGCGAGATGCGGGCATTAAAGACATATCCTTTGATCGCGACGATACCGGAATCGCCACTATACCATCCACACGGCAAATACATGACGATCGAGAGGTCGGCAAACTGTAATGCGAATGCGCAAAAACTCCTGGAAGACGTTCGCACGATGATGGAGGACCTGCTTGACACCAATAGCCCGAGGCGTGCAGGCAGCTCTAACAAATCGCGAAGTGCCTACGACCGCATCATCCAATCTCGATCTCTACAGCCCGCTCGCAGAACAGCCATACTAAAAACGAAGAACTGGAAGTATGAGGCAATTCGCCTCGCCGCTATCGTGCAGGCTCAGGCTATGTTTGACGAAGTACCTTTATCAGAGGCGCTCGACCGTGTGCAAGTACCGGAATCGCAACAGGCCATGTACAGCTCGTCCGCGGCCTCATTTTCCAACGACTCTATCTCCTCGACCTTTGAATTCCAGGACGTCAGTCCGGCTACCGACGTTTCCCAGAGTCCAATGTTTGGTTCAAACAGCGAAAGCTTTCCTTTTAACCATCGCTTATCAAACTCATCCACATTCTCACGACCCTCACTTTCGACATTGCAATCAAGCTCATCGGACGTCCCCCTTCAACAACAAGTTTTCACACGAATAGTCAGTGGGAATACCATGCTTCGCCAACTGCGAGAAGCCCTCGAAAAATCCGACATCACAGACTGCTGGTCTGATATGGCTGGAGTGCTGCTATGGATTGGTCTGGTCATGGGAGCTGCAAGCAACAAAAGCAAAGACAAGAACCTGCGAAGATACTTCTCCGCAACGACGATGCGGGCATGCATCATGCTCTGCTTCGAACATCCGGAAGCTATTCATGCCACGATGCTGAGGATGACCGATGTCGTTGCAGCCTTAGGCAAGAAATCTGGTGAGGGACAAATGATAAGAAACGACAGCTTCGTGTCAAGGAAGCGATCGAAAAATTGAAGAACTCCCATATGCACCACTTCAAGAAACCGACGTTGCGACAAGCTTTCTCCACAGTGGCAATGTCTTTCGGCGTCTCCGATTGCTCCACCTCGAATCGGTATCCGTGCTCACATAGGGCTGTAGGGCTTAGGTCCAGGGCTGACAAGGCGCAGTCTTACTCTTCTGCTATCTCGCAAACCTTCGTTGGTATTTAGGCGTGACATCTACTTTCTTTGTACGGATGTATATACTTTCACATTTACTGTACGATATCATTGTAAGGTGTTTTAGGAGTTTTGTTATTTACTTTAATGGACAAGGTGGCGACAGATATCTCTTTTCAGATACACTCTCATTAACTAACACTTATCACTTATCATTGATCACTGCAAGCGCACTGATGGCTTATAATTCTGTGACTTGATATGTTCTCATATGCCTACTAACAAGACCCGAGGCCTGGCTCTCAAAGGTTCATGCCTTCATGCCTGCGTTCATCATCGGTGTGCCCTCACACTCAGCGACTGTGCCATCCGACACCCGCTTAACCCTTGGTAACCTTGTTGATCGTACCGTCCTTATCGAGGTGAACGTTCAGCCTCTCGGGCTGAAAGTCCATGGTCTTCATATCGCCCTCGTTGAGAACGCGGTGTTGCTGGGGGAGGTCGGTCTTTGCGAAAGTCTGAGAGTGGCGTTGAGTTAGCCTTGAGACTCAGGCAGAGGGATAAGATAAGGGGATAAGTAATAGTAAGAGGCAACTCACCATCTCATCATGCTGGTCTCCAAGCTTCTTGCCCATGAGCTTGCTCATCCAGTCATCGTTGGAGTTTCCGTCCTTGGACTGCAGACCGGGGACTACGAGAGGCATGTTGTGCGGTGGTGTTCGGGTGGTGTAGAGTCTGTGTGGATGTACGTGTTTGCTTGCGCGGAGTTTCGAGAATGGTCTTATCGTGGAGGTTGTTGTAGTGTTTGGATTGTTTTGTAGCGTTGGATAGTGGGGTAGAGGGGACGCAGTACTTATGCAAGTAGACCCTGGCTGGCACTTGCGTGAACTAACTTGTTTGTTTAGGCTTTAGGGGTCACCAGGCAGCAAGATGGGCTATGGTGAGTGCTTGGAGGGGAGGGTGACGTCACCCGTGTCTAGCCGCGTAAGTGGGGTTGTTTGGGGTTGATAGAACGCGGGATTGGCATGTGTTAGACTGCGCAGGTTTCGGGGTGCGATATTCTACTCGTGGGGGATAGCGCAAGCCTTTAGAGAAGCTGCTTGAACTTTCGCGCACGTAGACTGAGGCCGAACTTGACTTGAGTCGAGCCCTTCTACCTGGCAGCTCCAGATGTATGAAAGTGCTGGTCTGGTGCGTTCCAACTACGGAAGATAACGACACCATCTAGCGAAGCTCAAATGGAAGTGAAAATATATGATCGGAGGGTAGTGCAATACTCTCGAAAGCAACAAAATGGCCAGCATGAGTTCATATCATCATAACGTGATTTGAAGAATGTGATTTGACCCTGCCTTGCTTTGTAGCAAGCGGATACAGGATACGTGATCTACGCTACGAGATTCCTTCCGGCTCTTGAATGGTGAAGTAGTTCAAAGACTACACGGGTTGACGACGAGGCTAGTCATCACTTATTTGCCGTCGCGCATGTTGCGGAAGAAGTCCATGACACCGGTGAAGACGACCAGCAAGATACCACCTCCAGGTCCCAATCTCAGGACCTTGGGTGTGAATCCCTTGTATAGTGCCGCGAAACCCTCCTCCTTCATGACCGTACCGAGAGCCGGCCACGCCCAGTTGTACTTGGGAATTGATCCTGCGACCTTGGGAGAGTTCTGAATACGCGACTTGACAACGTCCATGGGAGTGTTTAGGATAGTGCCGACCGTGCCACCGATAGCGCCAGACATGAGGTCGTTGGTAATTTGGCTCTTCTTGGTGGTTGCTGCGGGCAGGAGAGCGCGGACCTGGAAGATGCAGCCAAAGTATCCAGCGTTCCACAGGATGTGCCTCCACATAGTCGACTCAAGACCCTGGTAAAGGGTGAGCGGCCCTTCCTGCTTGACGATCTTGGTGACGCAGTCCACCATGCCGTTGTACTTATGAGCTTGCGCCCTGTCTTGTAACCGGATCTTGACGAGCTCGAAGGGTACGACGACGAAGGCTTCGGTGGCACCTGCGGTGGCGCCAGTGAGGATGGAGAGCGACTGGTTCATCTTGGCCTGGCCGAACAGGTTGCGGTAGAAGGAACCCCATGAGTCATTGGCTGCGAACTTGGTAGCCCTGTGTTGCGTGAGATGAGTTTCTTCATTCTTGCAATGAAAAAAGTGTGGAAGAGCGCGTACCTCTTGGGAGCTTCCATGAGGATAGGCGCGGTGATACCGCGGTACAATCTCGACGCACTGGCAGATGTCAACCCCTCTTGCTCATGATCGCAGGAGCGTCATAGCGTACCCCTCATTCTTGATGATCTTCCTGAAGCAGTCCATCATGCCATTGTAGCCCTCGTCACCGACCACCTTGCCAGAGGTCTGAAGTTGTCTGTGAATGTTTAGAGGCGGTCCAGAGGTGGTGTCATATGCGGTCGCTTACATCCGGGTCTTGACGACGTCCAGCGGGTACCTTGAGATAGTGTTAGTGCTTGAGTCTCGACCGTGTGGGTGCAGGGTGGTACGTACATGATCAGAATCTATAGATGGAGCTGCATTAGCACAGTTCATCTCACGCGAGCTCCATGGACGGTTGCGCACTCACTTCTGACACACCAGCCACGGCACCTGTACATTGTTAGTGCTGATCGATATAGCTGAAGCTCGACTAGATCGCAAGATTGCCCTGTGCGACAGCTGGAGCGAAGGCTGTATAGATTTCTTGCTTGGAGCGGATCCGGATTTCTCTCGGGTAGCTGTCGCGCCGGAGCTGAGCGGTGTTAAGACAATTGGAACTTACCAGCCGCGAACTGGTAGACAAAGGGCAATGGCTTCGCATCGGCAGCAGACATGTTGGCGGTTGTGGTGAGAGGTAATGAGATGGCCGAGGGTGAGAGAAGAGAGATGGGCGCTGTTAGGTGAGCGATTCACGGTCGGCGCGCACAATCTGGGGAAAGAGTGCTAGAGCGTGGGATGAATGTCCAAACTCCGCTTAGGCGTGGTCCTAGCTTCCCGTCATCGGTTGACACCATTTCGATTGGCGCAAAAGCGACTATCTGACCCGTCCCTGCCTCTAGACATGTCTTGCTACTTTTGTGATACGCGGAGCTACCTGCGATACGCCAAGTCGTGTCAATTCCGTGACTGTATCAATCAGCATGTCCGATGCCTATGACGGAAGCCTGCACATGCTGGTCGGCCTAGACTGGGACTGTCTACGATTCTCAATGTTTAACGCAGTATCCAATCCAACAGCCTAAATTTAATCCTGTCTGCATGTCCCATAGATGCAAAGAGTGGTTCAGGCCAGCGCAGGTCCCCGCACTCGGAGCTGTGTCGCACGTCGGCTCGCAGCAACCGGCCCGAGCGCGTATCGCCACGAGCTCTCGCCTCACCCAACGTGATTGGCCACTCACGACGCGTCTCTCGCGTTCGGTGCTTTGGAGACGCTGACGCTACCAACCATCTCCATGTCCACGCGACAGAGGTCCTTCTTTGACCAGAATCCGAAGCCAAAGGTACTTGAATAGCCCGCTGCCTTCACTGCCGCCGCCTACTCACCTCTCACCCTCGCAGCAGCAGTTCAAGGGCCAATGGAACCGCCCACGCAACTTCCCCCACCAAAACAGTAACCAGGCGGCGCCGCAGGCTCGGCAGGTAGTTACTGGCCCTCCCATCATGCCTTCGACCCAGACACGCACCAAGCTCAAAGCTTTCCAATTCATCGAAGGCGCGCCCACGGCCGAATCGCTCCGCCAGCGCGAGGCGGAGAAAGAAAACCTGCCCACGGCGCGAGGCAAGACAGCCAAACCCATGGGCACACCAAAGGCGAACCGGGTCGCGAAAGATGTGGGAACTGCCAACAAGACTCCGAAGCTGCCTACCATTCTCGACTGTCCGCCGCCATCAACTCCCGCCACCACGAGGCTGCCGCTTGCGGACCTAGTGGGCAACGTCGACGATTCCTCGAGACACGCGCCGCAACCCGTCGCCTCGCCCGAAGAGACGCTGATATGGAGGGGCTCGCAGGCAGTGAACACGCCTTTGCCTCGGAAGAACAAGAAGCGCGCTAGGAGCTCGTCGCCTGTCGGACCGTCGCAAGACGAACACAGACTGGACGGCGCCAGGCAAGACATCACAACACCCCAGGCCGACCCTGCCATGGAGCTGTGGTCACGGTACACAAACAACAAGGGAACACCAAGCGCCAATAAGAGCGTGGCGTTCGCACATCTCATCAACGAATCGTCACCCAGGTCGATGGCTGCTGCTGGAAGTGTCAGTGGGCTTCGCAGATGGGCAAGTTGTGGCGTAGAGTTCCCAGCATCGACCCGGAAGAAACGGAGAACCCACGGTGTGTTTCAGCCGGAGCAAGAAGCTACAGAGGACGTTTTCGCTGGCGCATCTAGTTCGGATGGGATTATGCTTGGACAACCCGCGAAACCCAACATCGCGAGCATGGTCCAGCGCATGAGGGAATGCGTGTCAAAGTCACAGCCGCGCATATCGTCACAGATGCCCTCAAGCTCGTCCCCATTGCCTGCTGCCGGCGATCGTCAGGATCAATCGTCGGGCTCTCCTCTTCAGCGGCGTGCACGCGACTATCTTGCAGAAACCTCCGAAACGATACGGCACGAGTCGCCACCTCTAGAAGATACCGTGGACATGGATGACGAGCTTGTTCAAGAAGACGATTACGTGCAAGCGGCACCGAAGCCACCGGCATCGCAGGGATCCTCAGATGATTTCGGAGACGACTTCGACGCCGACATGGTGGAAGCTTTGGATATATCGCCTCGACCCGTGCGACCTCCACCTCCCACGAAGTCCGCGCCACCGGCCCGCTCCACGAGTTACGTGACCATAC